AAATACGATAAATTTAAACATTAATATGATAAATAGAATTAAAAAAATTAAAAGAAAAAGATTATATATATATATATATATATATATATTTGATTGTTGAGAAAAGAAAGTATTTTAAATAATAACGAATAAAATTTGCATTGTGGTTAAGACAAGTGACAAACTACTATAAAACCACTTGGTAATTTAGGATAATATTAATACTAATACTTAATATAAATTTAATTTTTTTAATCTGAATGATAAGACGGTGAATATTTTTGTAAAGATTTTGTCTGCCCTATCTTAATTAATAAAATTTTAAAAATAATTAAATTGACAGATAAAAACAACGCCTCTATCTTAATTTATAAAGATAAGAATATAGGTACTATAAAAAATATGATAAATTTAAACACTAATATGAACAATAGTATAAAAGAATAAAAGTAATTAAAAAAATTACTAGAAGAAAAATAATTTTTTTTTATTTATAATGTACTATAATGGAGGCAACAGACAAGAATATGATAATTTTAAGTTATGGGTAATGCAATACAGACAAGAAATTATGGGTAATTTTAAGAGATTTGAGAAATTTCTGCGTTTTTTTAACATTTATTTAATAATTATATATACTTTTATCTGAAAGATTAATATTTAAAGTTATTTGCACGTAAATCAAATAACTCAAATCAACTTAAATTTTCTTTCCTTATTTGAAGTATGTAGGAACTTTTAATATTTTATTATTTAAGACTTTGAAGTCAACTAAATTTTAGTTATATTTCCTTCCTTATTTGAAATCACACATAATTCCTAGAACATCGGACAAAGTAGAGAAATTTTCATAAAGCACTATCCTTTAGTAGTAATTAGCCATCTATAGATATCATTTGCTATATTACGGATTATAGATACCTTTTGTGTGGTTATAAGATGTATTTTATGTATTTAAGCTATTGTATTCATGAATACAATAGCAAAAATAGGCGTGAATCAGGGAAGTCCAGCTAAATTCATGGAGTAAAACATGGGATTACAGCTGGACAGATTATTGCATTCAACTATATTCGACTGTATGCACGGCATGAAATAGGAGATTACACTGTTTTTAAAACGGAAAGTGAATCAATTAACATAATAGACTCCTAATATAACTCAACAAACTCAATTATAACACACAAAATTTGTATTTTCAGTTATAAAAAAGATTCTCAACCGAAAAATACCCCAAAAACATAACAATCTTCAGAGAAATTATATAATACATCTGAATACATAAATTATATTAATTAAAAAAATATTTATGAATACATTCATGGCATATAGCGAGACAGTGAATACAATAAAATATATAGAATACATCGGGATACATTGAAATACAATGAAAAAAACAGTGAATACAATGAAATACATAAAATACAGCAAGATACATTAAAATACAATGAAAAAAAAAGAAAGTGAATACAATGAAATACAACGAGATATATTGAAATACATTGAAATATATTAACAAAAAATTCAAGTTGCTCTGCCCCCAACGTCGTCTTTGTTCAAGAACAACCCTAATATCGTCTCGTTGAAGAAGCATCAGTATCCAGTCCTCGCTTGCCGTCACCTTTGCCTCCAGTTGCTGACGATTAGCATGTAATTACCGGCGAAATAACGGAGACTTCTCCAAAACCTTTGCATTCTTTAACAGAAATTCTGAAAGTTTGAAATGCTTGTCAAAGCAACATTCTAAATGATCCTTCAAGTATGTTAAAGAGATGACAATCTTAACATTCTGCAAATCAATAGATTCTCCTTTTGCCAAATATCTTAACCTAAAGTTGTAACGGGCAATATTAAACTGGAGACAGAGAATATAATCAAGCCAAAAATGCAGGCGAGCCGAATAAAATTGCAGAAAGCTGACAAAATATTATTTCACAGTAGAAAGGTCAGGCGGAGGAGAAGACATGGGAAGTAGAGAGAGAGAGAGGGAGAATAGATATGGGGTAGGGTTAGGAGAAATTTGAGGGGATATGAGAGAGAAAAATAATACAAAGCTTATTTTATGGCTTAAAGTTAGGAGGTAATCATAAATATATATTTGGCTATAAAAAATCAAAAGGTAGCTATGGAATATAATTTTTAAAAGGATATTTATCTAAAATAAATAAGATATCAACCTTTGCTATATGAGGTAACTAATCCAACAAAGTAAACTTTCTTATTTGTCCTTAATGAAATTAATTAGTAAAATTTTCGGTTATAATGCAAAAATCCTATCAACTCAACCAAAATTATCAAAGTCAGTAAGTAGATCTCTTTTTTTAATATTAGTTCTAACTTTTCAATAGTCGCTAATGGATGTTCACCTTCAGATATTGCCTTTTACTTCAAAATAACATATAGATAACCACCACAGCAACAACATCTGCTTTGGTTTTCTTGGCCTCTGATTTGGCCTCTTCAAGCTCAATGACCAGTTTCACCTGAACAGAACCTGCTGAACCCAACTCGGACCGGAGCTCCTGGATTTTCTTGGCTTGCGCCAAGCTCTTCTCTTTCACACTTCGGAGTTGGACTTCCGCCGAGGCCAGCTGAGCCCGGACAGTCTCCTTCTCTGAGGCCAGACGTGCTCTTTTTCCATCCTTTCGGCCTCTGCTTTTATTTCACCTATTTCTTCATGGAGCTGGATAATCACATCAAGTTTTTGTTGAACATGCGGATTTGGATTATCAGTCACCATTCCCGTTCCACCAACATGAACTTCAAATATTCTTTTTACCTGCTCGGTTAGGTCGGTGTGTTCTTTTGAGCCATTTCCAACTCAGCTCGAAGGTCTTGAACTTCTTTCTCTTTTTGCTCACAAAGAAGTTTGAAGGTGTCCTTCTCGGTGAGGCCCCAGATTTAGACCTTGTACAAAATTTTCTCCCCTCGGGATCGGAGGAAGGCCTCATGATGTAACACCGAAGCCTACAAACACAAAAGAGAAGATGTGTAAGATTGGAGAAGTATTGAATCAAGAAATTAACATTGGAATATGGGATTACCCGGTTTAGAGCCTGTTAGGCTTCATTAAACAGGTAGGGTATTTCCACTGCATTCATCTCGGCCTGATCCTCTTCGGTCACCAAACATCGGAGGTAGCTAGCCACCCCTACTAGGGAAGAAAGGACCTTAGTATCCTCTGGGGCCGAGATAACGATCGACCGTTTGGGCCCAGGGTCGGCACTAGGGTCCGAAAACTGATTGGTCAGTCTAAGACTCGAGGACGCCTCGCCCGAGCTCTTCTTTGGAACATCCAAGTCACCCAGACCGGTGACATCTTCTACCTCAGCAAAATAGCCACAGAAAAATCTTCCTCCACGTGGGCTCCTTCCTCGTGACAAGCCTCCACATCCTGAGCGTCACGTATCATCGAATCATAAATTGGAGAAAATGAGGGGGAACCCCCGATATCTATTTCCCCAAGTGGGTCCTTTGAGGCACTGCCTCCGTCTTGCAGAGCCTCAAGCCCAATTTCTGCACCAATCTCCACCGCCTCTTCAACGATCTCTTTGCCCCGATGTAAAACATCTTCATTCCCTCTTGGCTCGGGGACTTGGGCCCAAGTCTCCTCCTCGACCTCATTAAGCCTAGGCGGAGCAATATCGACTCCCATCGGTTCCAAGGTTCTTCGAACCTCTGTGCTAGCTCGAGCATAGGACACCGGCCCGAAATCATCTTCATTCTATTCTTCTCCGTCCTCTTCGGGCTCCTTCAATAGTCGATGGATTGAGTCCCTTATGATGACGCCTCCCTTGGGTTTTCGGGTTGTTTTCTTTTTGGGCTTCTGTCCCTCAGAGTTCACAGAAGTCAAGGTCCTTTTCCTCTTCTTCTCCCTAACCAGCTTCGAAGCAGATGATAGGGGAGGAATTTCTTCATCACCGGACGGAGGCCTCATCATCACCTCGTTCCCAAGACCTACAAAGGAAGAGAAATAAATAAGTTTGGAAAAATGCTCTAATAGTGGTCAAATCACTAAGTCAGGAAGAAAAACTTACCATGGGTACTATCCTTCCATCGACCCTTTGCCAAATCATGCCATGCACGTTCAGCATGGGTCGATTACAATATCAGGCTCCTGACCCAATCCTCGAGTTGGGGAACCCCACCCGGCATCCAAGAAACAGCTGCATCCAGCAAAACACCGATGGGGAAGTTTATAAGAATAGAAACCATAAACAGGAATTAGGAGCGGATCATACTTATGTTTCATATTCCATTTCTCAGAAAATAGCATGCTTTCAGCCGGGATCAAGTCCGAGGTCTTTACTTGAACGAATTAGCCCATCCAACCCCGATCTTTGTCCTTATCTATGCTCGAAAAAGGTGCCTGGGTGGCTCGACGTTGAAGCTTTATTAGTCCCTCTTGATAGATTCAGGGGCTACATAGGCGTATGAGGTGGTCGAGGGTGAAGGGAAGCCCATCGACTTTGCTTGAGAAGAAACGAAGTAATATCACTATCCTCCAAAAGGAGGGATGAATCTGACCAAGGGTCACCCCGTACTTCTTACAGAAGTCTATGATGATCGGATCTAGGGGACCCAACATGAAAAGGTAAGTGTAAACACTTAAGAACCATTCTACATGAGTGGTGATTGCATCTTCTGGAGTAGGCACCACCACGTGTTTGTTACCCAGTTGCAATCTTTTTTAACTTAGGAAAGAAGTTTTTCGATGATCGAGCATATATATCTTGATACTGGCTCGCATCGTCCCGGTACCGAGGAGGTCTTTTCAACCTTAAAATCAGAGTCGAGAACACACCCTCCCAAAAAAAACTCTTCAGGGCATGGCTACGCCGCCGGTTCCTCGCCGGCCGACCGTGACGATGCAGCAGTCTCCTTTCGTAGAATGGTTTTAGATGTTTTGGCCATTATAAGCGAACAAGAATAGAGATCGAAACTTTCTGTGTTTTGGAAGGAACAAGCAAAAAAATTCAAAGATCTGAAGAATGTAAGGAACTATGAAGATTAGAATGAAAGAGATTGAAAGTAAAAGTTTAGGCAAAAGGAGGAAGATATATTTGTATATTGAAGACGACGGTTTAGAACTGATAATGGCCGAACAACTGACTGGCATTTAATGCCTCGGCATTTGAACCAACGGGACATTTCAGTACCTATTTGTCACTTACGTCACGATGCTTATATCATGATAAACCGAGGGAAATATTGAAGACTCAATTTATTTCTTGTAATTCCATAAATAGGATTCCTCTACTATATAAAGGGGGTCCTAATCATTTTATAATGACCATACTCACGCATAATTAAGAAATACACTACATTTTTTCTCTTAAGCTCTCTTAAAGCTCTACTGTTCAGTTCATTCCTTTTTAGCATATTATGTTGTTCGAGGGCGATCTAGCTTGAGGGCCATAGTTGTTCATCACATTGGTTTGCGTTATTACTGTCAATTTCTAGCATTAATTTTCATATTTATCAGTTTGTGCCAAGTGAAATCATATATCCTTAAAACCACTTATAAGTTTAATTGTTATCCAATTTTAAGGGTAAACATCCACGAAGCTGTTAAACCAGATTATATCAGCAACCTTGTAGTTGCTACTTGTTATCTTCTAGTTGGGTCTTATTCTATGTTAGTGATTTTCTGTAGTCTGTCATGGGATAGTGACTGTGGTCTGGGGTGGTAGAGTAAGGTCATGTCCTCAGATGTGTAGGGGTGGGGAAGGGGTCAGAGGGTGGGACGGGAGACAATGAGGGTAGGGGAAAATGGAGCTTGTAGGTTGAGGATTGGGTCGTGTAACATAGGCACGCTGATGGGTAAGTCTATTGAGTTGGTGAAGATTCTCCAGAAGAGGAAGGTCAATATAGCTTGTGTCCAAGAGACTAGGAGCGCGTTTGGATTGACTTATTTTAAGTGCTTTTAAGCTAAAATAACTTTTAAGCTATTTTGTAGTGTTTGGATAGATTAAAAAAGTGTTTTTAAGCACTTGTTTTTAAGCTAAAATGGCAAAAACAAGCCAAAAGCTAGAATTCTTAACGTATGGCTTAAAAATCACTTAATATAAGCCCATCCATACGGGCTTTAGGTGGGTAGGGTTCAAAGCGAGGAATGCGGACAGGTATAAGTCGAGGTAGTCTAGAGTCGTGAAGGGTAAGAATAGAGTGGGTATCTTGGTGAATAGGAATCTTAGAGAGTCTATGGTTGAGGTTAGGCAAGCGGGTGAATGATAGACTAATGTTTATTAAGTTGGTGATTGGTGAGTGCACCCTCAATGTCGTTAGCGCTTACGCGCTGTAAGCAGGCTTGGATGAGGAGGTTAAAATGCGCTTCTAGGAGGGTTTGGACGAGATTGTGCGTAGTATTCCACCTACTGAGAGGTTATTTATAGGAGGGAATTTCAATGGCCATATTGGGTTAGCTGCTGGTGGCTATGGCGATGTGCATGGTGGCTTCGGCTTTGGGGGATATGAATGGAGGAGGTTCTTTGCTGTTAGATTTCGCTAAGGCTTTCGAGTTGGTGATTGCGAACTCGAGTTTTTCGAAGAGGGAGGAGCATCTGGTAACTTTCCAAAGTTCGATGGTGAAGACTCAACTTGATTACCTCCTCCTCAGAAGGTGTGTCAGAGGGTTGTGCAAGGATTGCAAGGTTATCCCGGGTGATACCCTCACGACTCAGCATAGGCTCTTAGTAATGGACGTCGGTATTATGATAAGGAGGAAGAAGAGGTATGCTCATGGTCAACTGAGGATTAGGTGGGTAGCCTTAACTAAGGATAAAGCCCTGGAGTTGGAAGGAAGGTTATCGGCTATGGGAGCCTGGAGGTGTAGTGGGGACGCGAGTGTTATGTGGCTAACGGTGGCGAACTATTTTAGGGAGGCAGCGAGAGAGGTGTTAGGGATATTGAAGGGTTACTCTAGCAGGCACCAAGGAGACTGGTGGTGGAATAACGTAGTCCAAGGCGAAGTGGAGATGGAGAAGGTAGCATATATGAAGTTGGCAGGGAGCACAAGCGAGGAAGAGAGGAGAGCGAATAGAGAGAGGTACAAGGTAGCGATGAAGGAGGCAAAGCTGGTGTTCAGAGAGGCTAAGAATGCAGCGTTTGACCGTCTGTACGGGGAATTGGAGGAAAAGGGTGGGGATAAGAGGTTGTTTCGGCTGGCTAAGGCGAGGGAGAGGAAGGCGAGGGATTTGGACCAAGTGAGGTGCATCAAAGACGAGGACGATAGAGTATTGATGGGGGAGTCCCAAATTAAGCAGAGATGACATACGTACTTTCATGGTCTTCTGAGTGAAGATGGGGACCGAGATATAGTGCTAGGGGATCAGGGGCATTCAGAGAGTCTCCAAGACTTTAGGTATTGTAGGCGCATTAAGGTAGAGAAGGTTGTGGGGGCTTTGTGTTAGATGAGTAGGGGCAGAGCGATCAGGCCAAACAAAATTCCGGTTGAGTTTTGAAAGGTGGGTAGAGCAGGCTTGGAGTGGCTGACTGGGCTATTTAATATTATTTTCAAGACGAAGAGGATGCCGGATGAGTGGAGGTGGAGTACAGTGGTACCGTTGTACAAGAACAAAGGTGATATTCAGTATTGTAACAACTATAGGAGTATCAAGTTACTAAGTCATACCATGAAAGTTTAGGAGAGGGTAGTGAGGGTGAGGAAGACAGTGTCTATATCCGACAACCAGTTTTGGTTCATGCCGGGTCGCTCTACTACGGAAGCTATCCACCTTATTAGGAGGTTGGTGGAATGGTACAGGGATCGGAAGAAGGATTTGCACATAGTGTTTATTGACTTGGAGAAAACATATGACAATGTCACTAGTGAGGTGCTATGGAGATGTCTGGAGGCAAAGGGTGTGTCGATAGCTTACGTTAGAGCGATCAAGGACATGTATGATAGAGCTAAGACTAGGGTTAGGACTGTGGGAGGCGACTCAGAGCATTTCCCGGTAATTATGGGGTTACACCAAGGATCTGCACTTAGCCCATTCTTATTTGCCTTGGTGATGGATGCACTGACACACCATATTCAAGGGGAAGTGCCATGATGTATGTTATTTGCTGATGACATAGTTCTGACTGATGAGACGCGGGATGGTGTTAATGAGAGGTTGGGGGTTTGGAGATGAGCTCTCGAGTCTAAGGGTTTCAAGCTGAACTGGACTAAGACAAAGTACCTAGAGTGCAAGTTCAGCATCGAGTCGAGGGAAATAGGCATGGTCGTGAGGCTTGGATCAAAGGTCATCCTCAAGAGAGGTAGTTTCTAGTACCTTGGGTCAGTTATACAAGGGGGCGGAGAGATTGGTGAGGACATCACTCACCGTATAGGGGTGGGGTGGATGAAATGGAGGCTAGCATCTGGAGTCTTGTGTGACAAGAAAGTGTCACTGATACTCAAAGGTAAGTTTTATAGAGCGATGGTTAGACCGGCCATGTTGTATGGGGAAGAGAATTGACCGGTTAAGAACACTCATATCCAGAAGATCAAGGTAGCAGAGAAGATGATGTTGAGGTGGATGTGCGGGCACACTAGGATTGATAAGATTAAGAATGAAGATATTTGGGAGAAGATAGGCGTGGCCCCTGTGGATGACAAGATGCGGGAAGCGTGCTTAGATAGTTTAGGCACGTGCGGAGGAGAAGCCTTGATGCTCTGGTGAGTGTCACACCTCCTTTTTCCTACACCCGGAAGGGTAGGACAAGAGAGTTTTTTCCAACTTAAAGTGACAATCGAAACGGGATCATTTTATTAAAAATTCAGAGTTGCCACTTGGGATAATTTTATGGAGTCCCAAGTCACCGGTTCAAATCCCGAATCGAGGAAAAGATTGACTCTGTATTACAGTCTGCGAACACAGAAATCCAGGTAAGGAATTCTGTTAACTCGGGAGAAGGTGTTAGGCATTTTTGAGTTCCATGGTTCTAGCACGGTCGCTCAACTGTTATATTTGGCCTATTATCTGATTTTAAAACACTTTTAAACCTATGTGCATTTTTAACTTTAAAACCGCTTTCATTTATTTAAGGAATTATTTCAAGGTTATTTAAAACACATCGCAAGTCATGCTACATGAAATGTACCCGTGATTCACGATACGTTCTATTTAACCTTGTTAGAAAATTAAAATCGGACCATATGAAATGTACCCCGGATTTTAGTAATAACCGTGATAATTATATAATCAACGCGCCTGAAACAAACTACGAAACTCGTTAGTTTTCATTTGTTCAATTCCTAAGTTTGAAATTGATGCAATGGCATGGGAATTATGGAAATTTATTGTGGATAGAGTGTAAAATTAAGCTAGAAGGATTCGAATATAAGAAAATGAGCCAACTTTATTCAATTCTTCAAAACCTATATACTAGGCCCAAAAGCAGAAGATTCATCTAACGGCCCACACTAGGTAAGACTTGGAATATGCAAGTAAACTTATACAGCATATAACATGAAAATTGATTATCTCAACACATAGGAAGTTTAAACCGTAAGTTCAATTTAGAATTAGTATATCATTTAACAGGAATCCATATCAGATGGCAACACTTCAATTTAATACGTCAATTAACACGGCGAATTAGTAGCTAATTAAGTCGTAGACCAGCATATGAAATCTTCAAATGAACAAACAGTTTCAACCTAAATTTTAGCTCAAACATAACAGTTATCAGCAAGATCAATTATAGGCAAACAGAAAAACAAAAGCCAATTTTTGCTGATTGAACATAATTAAACTCATGAGATTAAAGATGGCCATAACATGAACAATTCAACATTGCCATTTATAAGTCCAACAACTAATAACAAATGAGCGAGGCATACCTAGCAACAAAACACAACTCAAAATTAGCCGAAGAAGCTGGACAGTGGAGAAACCAACAAGAATTCGTCCAAATAGAGCTTCAAAAGACTTGAAAACGGAGCTCAACAGCTTTGAACCAGCAACAAATTGTTTGGATCTCGCGGACCACATACGACGACCTCGATGGAAAACCTCACCGGAAAATTAAAATGCCAGCCGAATCAGGCTACAAGATCTCAGAATCCACATGGAATTCATGTCTAAAGGAGCTAAATCGAAATAATTGGACAATGAATGAAAGGCCCCTTTTTCACGTTTTTTTTTTTGGAAAACTTCTACTAGGTTTTTTATTTGGTTTTGGGTTTTTCGAGGAAGAAGGAGATGAGAAACGGGGAGCAATGGTAAGAGGCCCGCCGATGAATTTCTCTGTGTTATTGTGGCTGATGGTCCTCTCTTTAGCTCTTTAGGCGTTCTTTTTGTGTACTTTTCGTCTCCTTCAGCATTAGCCATTACCTTTATTATATAGATCTAGGTCTAAATGTGTATTTTTGTGCTAATTGCGCTTAGGTTCTTAGTTTTTTTTTTTTTTATTCCAAATAAGAGTCTAGAAGGGTCCCTAGGATTAGCTTAATGGGCATTGGGCATTGAGCTTAAGGAATGAGCTAGAAACTTGGACCTTTATGACTAGCTATGCTTAAAATTAGCTTAATTAACTAAAAATATTATCAAAAATATTAATTAGCCCTACTTAAGTAAAAATAATTATTAAAATAAGACTGACCGTTAAAACAAAACTATTTTTTGATATTTTTTTCAAGGTTAAAAATGACTATAAAACATTAATAAACCTATTTTTTGTAATTTTCGTTGTCTTGTAATAAAATAAAAGTAAAAGAGTAAAAATGAGTTGAAATAGCTATATTAGGCCTAAATTAAATATTTGCATGCTAAAATATAAAAAATCTTAGGGAGGGTCAAAAATCACATGTCTACAGCTGCCCCTCTTTGACTGGAAATACGAAGTATCTTCAGACAAAGAACGACTAGACAAGTTTTTTGACCCGACCCTTATTTAAGGCGACCAAAAGAAACGAGAATGTGACCAAGCCCTGGTATCTGAGCTGCCTACATATCCTTGGCTATAAAGGAATCAGGTCACGTGTAGTCAGAGGTGAATGAGGTGATGGGGTACCGAGGTTGAGAGCCGAGCGAGGTGCCGTCGAGGTTCCGGTCTGCGGTCCCGTTATTACATCAAAAATCAAAATTGAAAAAACTAACTAAGCCTATCAGCTACGAGTTACAAGATTCCTATCTATGAGTCTTCTGAAACTTGATCTTGAGTCTTAGTTGGTTCTTCATGCGAACTCTGATATGAATCTTGATGCTTGTTAGCCGTAGGTGTTGGTTCAATCTTCTTCAGCTTTTCAAACCAAGACGGGACATGCAGAGCTTGTGACTTCAGCCCTGTCTTGAGCAGCTCACATCTTTCATTAACTTCTACATTTGGATTCACTTCTTGTCTTTCTTTTTGTTTTTTTTTTCTTTTTATTCTGGATTGTGACTAACTTCTGTTGATCATCTTTGACTGCTGACTCGCATTCTTGACGCGAGTTTCGTTTGTTGCTGACCTGAATTGCATTTTGAATTGAATTCCCTTTTTTTTCCAGGTGGACACCTGATTGCTGAAATTGAACCGTTTTCTCTTGTTACTTGACACTGTTTCCCTTGCACCTTGAACCATTTTCCTTTGAAACTTGAACTGTCTGCCTCCGAAATTGCTTTCCCTTGAAACTTGAGTTGTCTTCCTTCGAAACTGCTTTCCCTTGAAACTTGAGTTATCTTCCTTCGAAACTGCTTTCCCTTGAAACTTGAGTTGTCTTCGCTTGTTTTCCAGGTAGACGCCTAATTACAACAAAACAGACAAAACAAAAGAAATTTTCCTGCCCCAGTTTGATATTGGGAACATTTGTGAGTGTTAACAAAGCTATAAATCACCTGCGTTGCCGATGAAGGATGCAATGATGAGAATAAAATTAATGACTCGACTAGGATGTGTGTCTCCTAAACGTGATTGAGCTTGCGGAAAACTATAAACTAAGCTTGACTAAAGTAAAAACTGACCCTATTCTCCAGGCGGGCCCCCCTGATTTCAGAAAAACTAAACATTGATAATCTTAAGAAAACTAAAAAAAATGACTCCCTTTTTCTTTTCCAAATTCAGACTTCCTTTTTTTAAAAAAAAATTATTATCCTAGGAGAAAATTCATCGGACTAGGTTTTCTATCTTAGGAGAAAGATTCATCAGACTAAGATTTTGATCCTAGGAGAAAGTTCATCAGACTAGGTCTCCTATCTTACTTCTTTTTGGTATCTTAGGAGAAAGATTCATCAGACTAAGATTTTGATCGTAGGAGAAAATTCATCAGACTAGCTCTCCTATCTTAGGAGAAAAATTCATCAGACTAAGATTTTATTTTTGGGAGGAAAATCCATCAGACTAGGACTTTTTATCCTAGGAGGAAAAATGTGAAAATCAATGGCAAGATTTTATGCATAACAGCAAGACAAATAAAGGAAAAAATTTGAGAAACTTCCCTTTGTCAGCTCTCCTCGTCTTTTCTTTTTATTCTCTTTTTTTGTTGTTTTTTTTTCATTTTTTTTCTTTTTGAATCACTTTCCTTGCACCGCTTTGTTCCTGTTTCATACAAAGAAAAATTTGTCAGTTTGAAAATGGTGGTCGGTTTGTGACCTTGAGTCTTGGGCAGCTTGGCTTCTACTCAATCAGCTTGAGTCGGTCTCAAAAAATATTTGTTCTGCACCAACTCTGATTGTTTCACACCAGTACCATTTGTATTTGCAGCTCAAACAACCTTATCTCAATTGGAGATCTTTGCTTTGGTGACCTTTTTCCGATATCTTGAATGACTTCCTACTTTTGAGCAATTTGTCTGTCGGAGAGAATCACCACTTATCTTTGCTTGCGCCAAGTAGGCTGACAAGAGTCTTTAGGGGGAGCCTTTGCATGAATCCTCAAGGCATGTTGACAGTAATAACTAAGTGTGCTGGCCAAATTCACTTTGTGCAACTGAAAAGCTGGTAGCAGTTTTGAAATCTTTTCTTGCTTGTTTTGACAAGGACTGACTCAGAGTGGAGGACACAATGGTGCAAAAAAACAAGTATTAACAAGAAATGCCCCTGTCAGAAGGACAAAAGGAAGAATTTTTTTTTCAATAACTAGCCTTAATGATCATGACATGCATTTTGGACTTAACAACCGATCTATCAAACTGACCAAATCTTCCCTTTTACCATTCTTATGATCTTTGAAGTCGGACATATCCGTGCCAATCATTTGCATCAGCTTCACGAATCACTTTCGACTAATGGTGTCCCGATGAATTTTCACCAACAAGCCTCTCTCATTTATTCATCTCTACTTACCATCCCCTTACTGTGCCCGTGATGGTTTTCACTAATAAGACTCTCTCATTTTTCTTTTTCTTTTTCTTTCCCTCTTTTTTGTGAGCAACTCAACGATGTTCTACGTCGTGTGACAACTGTTGCTCATTGCATGCATCTCTTGGCATTCTTGAAGGCATATTGGGAGGTCTTTATTTGGAAGGTTTTGGATAGGGTTGGAAAGAAAGGTCGGCATGAAGGCTTAAATAAACTCAAAATGAGGGGTTGTAGACTTACAACTCTTGGAATCGACTCTTTCAAAAATAAAATAAAATCTTTGCCCCAGTTTCAGATGCTGGGGATTTTTGGATTTTTGGATTTTTTCTATTTTTTTTCTTTTTCTTCTAAATTCTTATTTGGTTGGACCGAACCGTGAGGCTACCTACGTATCCTTATTTTAAAGGAATCAGGTCTAACGTAGTTCAAACATTTGACCTAACTATTTTTCAACTTTCTTTCCTCTGTCTTTTTCCTTTTTTTCTATCTTTTTTTTTCTTTTTGTTTTCAAAAACAAGTTGTCTCGGCTTCTATTTTTTGAGGGCATGGACCTTTGATAATTCATTTCTTCTTTATTTTTTTTCACTTGAACTTTCTAAGAATTGCCCCAGTTTGTACTCTTGGGACATGGACTTTTTTTTTCTTTTTTTTTTTTGTTTTTTGAATCTTGACTCTAAACTTTCCAAAAGAGGGTGGTCAAAGAAAATAACACAGACTCAAAGCGGTGAAAAAGGGTATAAAGTATTTTGGGTAGCAGAAAAAGGGCCTCCCAACCTCGAGAACGCCAATTATAGTATTCTGTCGCGATCACATCATTGATGAACATGCCCGTTTTCTTGGTGTTTCGTGGTCACAAGACACTTTCTGTCTCTTAATGTCAAACTTTCCAACAAACTTCAATTGATTAAACATCCTTAAGCCCAATCTTCACAATGATTTGAAGGTGAATTTTACTCAACCTTAATTCCAAAGTATTTCAACTCTTTATTCATCCTCAAAAGTGCTTTTTTCAGTTATCCAATTCCAGATTAAATCGGTTCCTAAGATCTGGCCAAAATTTCC